CAGAAGCGATGAGGCAGAGAAGCAGGAAGGAAAGCGGCAATGATAGTTAAAAGCGCTACTGTGAGGGGTAAAAAGCTGACCAGGTCAGTTAATCTGCATTTGATCCCAAATGACCTTAGTCTTTGAGCGACGTTTGAATCGCTGTGAGGCTTGGGTCTGGGGCAGTCACTGACTGTTGCCTCCCTTCTCTCCTGTGCCTGCTTCGGGTCCCCAGAGCCACTTACAGCCCAAGATGGGATCCTCTAACTGGACTGTGCACTCCACAGTCTGAGCTGGGCCTGAGCCCCTCTGCCTTCCTGGCAGCTTCTGATGCTGTGGTCTGCGGTGCCCACTTGGAGTAGCAAGGATCTAGAGCTCCAACTAACCGGACAAAAAATCAGCCATACACACAAAAAAAAGGACATGAGGGAGATGACCACCAAATGGTGGGCAGAGGATATGGCACTAAAAACATCTTGAGCACCCAGAAAACAAAAAAGGGATCACACAGGCATGTAAAATGACTAGCATCACAAATTGTTGTTTAAAGTCAATGTACATTTGGGAGTGAGAGAGACAGCACCTTCCCAGGAAAAGGGTGTGCAGGAGATACAGGTTACATTTAATCTTCAAATGAGTCAAATCAAGAGCTTTGGATTCAGGTTACTGAGGTTATGGGGGGAAAGAGTGGGCAATTTGGAGTTGAAATGACAGGATCTAAGCAAAAGGGGGAAAATGGTAGAAAAGTCATGATTTTAGTAATAGAAGCTATCAGAAACAGCTAGATTATAATATATACACACATACGCTTTATATATCTATGTCTTATGAGCATATCCATAATATGTATATTTTATAATATGTATATATCGACACACACACACATCAGAGGATAAAGAGGAAACAAAGTAGGTAAAGGGAAATTATATAGGAATTGCATTTCTAGAAGTCAACAGTGAAGCTTATAAAATTGTTGGCTTTGTTCCAAGAAGGGAGAAGCTTGGTTAATTTATTAACTCACATTACACAGGTTTTGATGTTTACAAAATGATTTCAAAATAATCATTTCCTTGGGAGGTGCCTGTGAGGTCAGCGGAGCAGGCCTCCCCCTAGCTGAGTGGGGTGGGGCAGGTCTTATTTTCCCATTCACAAATGAGGAACTTGGGGCTTTGAAGTGTGTCCAAGGTCAGGAAGGCAGTAAGTGACAGAACTTCTTTTCTTTTCCCTTTATTCCGATTCTTCCTGTAGTGCAAATAGACATACTACTTAAATTAAGTTTTTGTCACAAAATTCATGGGCATAAGATGAGATAATATATTTTTAAAAATTTTGAAATGGGTCAAATACTGTGAAGTCTCCCCCTTCTTGGTCCTGCTGGGAAAGGCATCCAGAGGGAACTGAGAGAGCAAAAATCACATTGTTTGAATTCAAATATGAGAGGCCAGCTGTTATCTTCAAGCGGCCATAAATGAAAGTCAGCTTTTGTGTTTCTTGGACATACTCATCAGATTCAAGAGGTCAGAAAGTTCATTCCTAGACATGGATCAGGGCTTCGAGCTGGGGTCAGCTCAAGCCAAAGGTACACCCTGTACCCTCTTCCAACATTTAACAGGGTGCAACAACCTCTGATTTATCTGCTTGTCTCTTACGTGCATGTGTAGTGCTCTTGCCTATGGTTTTGTAGTTTGACTCTCTTTGGAATTCATAGAGACCCAGGAGAATTGTTACATATGTTACAGAAGGGATTTAAATATGTATCTTCATTTTAATTTTCAGTAGGATATTCAGTTTGCTATTTCAATGCTTTACAGAAGTTCAGGAAGTACGGCAGATGGATGAGCAGATATTGGGTGCACTTCTCTTAAAATCACAACAGCTAGAAGGCTCCTGTATGCAAGAAGAGTCCCACACACATTTCTATGTCTTACCCAGGTTGTGACCAGGGCACAGTCCCAGCCTAAAACAATTCTGCAAAGAAGTTGCCAAGAAATATGAGTTCACAGCATATAATAAAAATGGATTAAAATCAGGAACATGATGAATATACCTAAGACATCTAACTGTGAGTGGTACCCTTAGAATTGGACAGTGTACAACGCATACAAATCTGGATCAGCCAGCCCTGAGACAACTCTATCATAGCTATTTACTCAGCATTGTGTTGGAAGGCCAAGAAAAAGCAATGCCACAAAAAAATAAAAAAAAAATACATATATATATGTACATTAGGCTGTGGAAAGATTAGAACAGAAGGAAAAAACTCTTGTTATACATATATGATATGGTTGTCTACCAAGAAATTCCAAAGGAATCAACTGATAAACTCTTAAAACTACTAAAAGAATTCTGTAAGGTGACCAGACAAAATATTAAAACACAAAATAGATTTCTATATATCAGTAAAAAACAATTAGAAACAGTAGAGCTGCAATGGAAATTGGCTTAGGAATCAGGAAAAAAACCCAGAAGAACAAAGTATCCAGCAACAGGCATGAAAAAGTCAGAATATCCAACTGAAATACATGCTGGAGGTGACATTTCAAATGGAAAGGAAGAGGACAACTTTTCATTAAATCCTATTAGAATAATTCATAGGAAAAAAGTTCCAGGTAGACTAAAGACCTATCTTTTAATGATAAAAGTATTAGAGGAGAGTATGCCAAAATATCATCAGAAGCTTAGAAGTTGAGAATGCTTTTTCAAATAAGCCTGAAGAACAAAATTTAAAGGAGAAAATTAATAACTTCAACTACATCAAAATAACAATAGCATAACAATAATAGTAAATGCTTCTGTTGACTAAAAACACAATGTTAACAAAATTAAAGGACAAATTATAGACTTAGAATATTTATTATATGTTTATCAAAGAATTAGTATTAAGAATATATGTGAAACTCCTACAAGTGAATAGAAAAAGATAACCCGATATAAAAAGAGCTAAGAATATGAGCAAGCAATTAAGAAGAGACAATATGGTGGTCAAGACATATATAAAAAAGATGGCCAAGAACTGCGTAAAAAAATGCCCAACTTCTTTAGATGTTATGGGTTGACTTGTGTCCCCCAGTACACCTCAGAATGTGACTATATTTGGATATAGGGTTTTTAAAGAGGTAATGAAGCCCGAATGGGGTCATTAGAATGGACTCTAATCCAATATGACTGGTGTCCTTTTAAGATGGGGAAATTTGAGCACAAAGAAAGACACCAGGGATGCACTCACACAGAAGAAAGGGCATGTGAGGACACTGCTAGAAGACAGCCACCTGCAAGCCAAGGAGAGAGGCCTCAGAAAAAACCAACCCCGCTGACACCTTCATGTTGGATTTCCAGCCTCCAGAACAGAGAGAAAATAAATTTCTGTTGTTTAGTCCACCTAGTCTGGTATTTTGTTATGGCAACCCTGGAAAACTAATACCTTAGTAATCAGGGAAATTTAAATATTTTTTAAAAGGGTTACTATTTTTACTCATCCTGTTGGAAAATAAGATGTTTAATGAATAGCCAGCATCAGGGGGTGAAGGAGCACTAACTACCATTTTCTACCAGTTGGAGTATAAAATGGTACAGACCCTGTGGAGGGCAATTTGACAGTATCAAAAATTAAAATGCACATACCTCATGATGTAGCAATTCAACTTCCCAGAATATCCTCTAGAAAAACACGTGCACATGGGCACAGGAAGGCTTATACAGTGAGGGTAATTCTAGCATTTTGGCAAAAGGGGAATACTGGAAACGGCTTATATAACTAACAAAAAAGAAATAGCTAAATAAAAGGATTGTATTCTGTGGAATACCATGTAGCAGTTAAAATTGAGGTAGAGCTATATGTAGATCTAAAAAGTCTCCACATGGACTATGCATATGGACAGTTTGTTGAGGGGGAAAAACAGAAGGAGAATTTGACAACAGCTAATTTATTGGTACATATGTGAATGCAAAGGAAACCATCTAGCAATAAATACACCAGACTGGTTCTAGGAATTACTTTTGGGGGAAGAGGGTATTAGTGTTGGCAGGATGGCGAAAGGAGAATTTAGCTTTCTCTGTACTACTTTTTCATTTTTATAAGCAGCATATAATAATTTCAAGTTTTAAAAAGCTATTACCTAGTAACAATAGTTAAATGAGTTTTGTGGTTGTCCATTATGTTTATTCCATAATAACTGAGGAACAAAATAATAGCTTGAGACTAGGAGCTGCCAAATTTTTCTATAAAGGGCCAGCTAGTTAATATTTTATGTTTTGGTAGCTACACTGTCTCTTTTGCAACTGCAAACAGCAATTCTGCTGTTGTAGAGCAAAAGCAGCTGTAGATAATAAATAATGAATGAGCATGGCTGTATTCCAATAAAACTTTATTTATAAAAAAAACTGGTGGGCTGGATTTGGCCTGTGAGCCATAGTTTGTAACTCCTTATTTAGACTGTTTATTATAGAACTAAAGTTTTAAAAAGTTATTTATTATATTTTAATATTATTGTATTATTTTTATTTTATATTATTATATTATTAGTTGCTATGTAACTAAAATGTTTTAAGTAAACATTTTTTGGTGTATGGTTTTATTTACCAACGTATTAAATAAGTAATAGCCTCTGGGGCCTCGCCTAGACTATTTTGGACTCCAACTCTGCAACAGAGAGGGGCTGGTTGTCTGTATGGCTCATGGCAACTCAGGTCGGAATGAGGTTTCCTCAATGACTATTGCTCTAGGACACCAGCGCAGGATCAGGGAGCATTGTTAATGGGACTCAGTACTACGTGACTGTCCTTGTGGTCTCTTGCATCCCAGAAATGTGGAGAGCAACAAGGCCAACATGCTACACAACCCACTGTGATGCTGACCTCAAACATAAGCTACATTTGTGTTCCCATACTTCTTTTGCATGGAGCTGAGCCGGGGTGGGGGTGGGGGCGCGAAGAGGAGGGGAGCGGGGGCGGGGGGGTGGTGAAAAGGGTGGGGAGGGTGTGCAGTCTGGCCCTAGCAAAAGAGAAAGAAAGAAAAACTGTACCTGCTTGGTGGTAACTTCTTTGCTGTGACTTCTCTTTCAGGGTCTACCCTGAATAATCAGGAACAAAGGATCAATCAGAACATCAAGATCCCCATTAGCCTAGTTGTTTGATTTTCGCAGGTGAACCCTTCCCTTGCCGGGAGAGCCTGAAGGTCCTGTTGAAGTCCAGGCAGCACTTTCTGTTCTTCGTCCTAGTTATAGGTTATTATTCCCCAGGATGTGAGCCAAACTTGTCTCTCACCTACATTTCAGTCCGGGTCAGGTGTGGCTCTAAGTGGCCGGCAACGGGCACTCCTAAGTCCCAAGTCCAGTACTCCAGCTAGCAAATGAACAAGTTACCGTATTTACTCTCATTACATGTCCCAATTTTTTTTCTCTCTGCCATCTTCACTGTAAAACATAGGAGAAGGGTAGAAATGTTGCTAGTCTCTGCTTTGTCTGTTAATTCTGAGCAAATTTTGTGTTCCTGACGGTCTCTGAACTTTAGCCACTGGGACAAAGTTATTTTAAACTTAGCTCTCCTAACATTTTTTCCTTTGTCTAAGCCACCTTCCTAGGTAGTGTTACCTGCCGTGAAAGTGAGCAAAGTTCTGGATTCTGATGGTGCCTGTGAGGGCCCATGTGTTTATAAGGGAGAGACCACCAGCACAGAGCAACTGGGAGAGAGTGTGAGATGAGGGCGCTGAGCACAGTTCATGCGAGTGTGACCTGTGGCTCCACGTCTGCACAGCTGGCTGACCAGAAGCAGGGAGAATGGGCCTGGGGAGACCTTCTAGGAGTTGGTTCTCTCCCCCTCCAAGTGCTAGCGGCTCCTCACTCTAGCCTAATCCTGCGTGTTCCCCAGCAGCCCCTGCTGATGGCTGTTCTACCTCCTGGGGGAAAAGGATAGGTGAAAGCAGCGGGCTTCCCAGGACACATTTCTCCTACTTGCTTTGTTTCAAAAGATGCGTTGTGACAGATGTGGGAGTGGACCAGATGCCTGCTTCAGGTGACAGTAAAGCAGGTCATCAGCCACAGCAGGAGAGGGAGACTGAGGAGACAGGTGGGAAAAGGGATTAGGGATTTCTGAAAAGCTATCATGGCACTCTTCACATGGGAATTTGGACTACACTTATTTCCTGATTTAAATTTTTTTTTTAAATGTTACAAGTATATTTTAATCCAGCCCTCCAGACGAGAAAAGCAAGCCTACTACTTAGCCATGATTGTTTGTTGTTTAAAATAAATCAGTTTCTTCTCTTCCACTCAATTTGCCCCTCCCAGGGGATGAGGAGGATTTCCTAGGGGCCCAGAATTTCTCAGGTGGTCCCTTGCTTGCCCTTCCCAACCAAATGCAGAGAATCAGACGGCCCATACAGCTCACTGTGTGTGGCCCAGTGGAGACATGGTCATGGGCCTCCTTTCCCTCGGTCAGTTTCCTGACTGTCCAGAGGGGATTCTGCTACGGCTGGGTGGCATTGGATTACAAATCCCACTGGTTGGGAGTTTGGCTTGGGTGTTGGACAGAGAGAACCCAGAATAAGTGAAGTACTAGATTTGGGTCCCAGTGGAAACAGCCCGTCTATTATGCTCTGGGGGCTGTGCGCTGCGGCTGGTGGCACCCCTGGGACCCCGGAGGCTCTGCCCAGAAGGCCATGACCACAGCCATTGGGGTGGGAAACTCACCCCAGGAAACTTATATTTCAACATTAAAAGTAGGCCTTTCTGGCAGCACAGAGGATTTTTAGGGCAGTGAAAATATTCTTGTATGATAGTATAATGGTAGATTCCCATCACCGTACATTTATGTAAGCCCATAGAAGGTACTCGGTGAATGCTAATGCAAACTATAGACTTTGGGTAGTTATTATGTGTCAATGTGGGTTCATCACTTATAACAGCTCTACCACTCTGGTGGGGAGGTTGATATGGGGAGGCTATGCATTTGTGGGGGTAGGGCATATATGGGGAGTCTCTGTACCTTCCTCTCATCTTTGCTGTGAACCTAAAACTGCTCTAAAAATATAAATTCTTAAAAATAAAACTAAGCCTTTTTGCAAAGAAAGGCATTACTGTGTCCAGGAATAAAAGCAGGATCCTAGCTCGGGGAGCGCAGCTTGCCAGAAGTCCTTGGGTCATGGATAAAAGGCATAGCTTTCGTCATCTCTCAAGTCTCTCCTGGCTCACAAGGGCCTGGCCTTATCTCCTGTATAAAAATAGTGAATTATTTACCACAGAAACAGGGAATGAAAAACAGGTTATAAAATCACTAAGGCAAAGAAACTCTTCTCAGGTTTTTGCAGGGATCTCTGGATCCCCTGTCCTCTGGGTCTCCTGTGTGGTGTCGTGGACCAGATGGCAGGAGAAAAGCTGTAAGACTGCCACGCAATTTTAATGTCTGACATGGCTCTAAGCTAAAAAAACAAAAAACAAAACAAAAAAAAACACCCAGAAAATACACTGTAGTTATTGAGGAGAGCATATTGATGCCCGAGACAAGGGTTTGAGTCAACCTTAAGCACAGCTGGGAAGTTGTCTATTGCAGCAACCAGAAATGATGAGCTCCTAAGCCACTCATAAGAGAGAAGCAGATCTTATAAGCCCAGGGAGTTTTCTTAGTGTGAATTCATTTAATGCTTCACCTCCCTCTGGGAGTATTTGTATTTTAAAAGAATTGAGTCAGCTAAAGGAGTGAGGTACTAATCACGTAAAATCAGGTAAAGGCTGAGGAAAATAGGTGTTTATTAACCAGTCAGATAAGTCCTTCTCAAAAGTCTCTTAGGATCCCTCTGGGATGTGCTCAGTGGGTCTCTGGAAGGGGTCAGCCAGGGCAAGACACAAGGTGAGGCACTGGGCCCAAGAGGCCATCGTGAAGAAGCCCTCTCCCTTTCGTCCTTGGGTGCAAGGAATAGGGACCTTCCCTTTGAAAATGGTCCTATTTTATCACAAGCTGGAAGCAGTGACAAGAAGTTTCCTTGCCTGGAAGTGGCAGGCTCCAGCAAGTGGGGGAGTCACTAAAATTGAGCTTCAGCTGTTCTAGAACCTATATTTGCTCCAGAACCCCATCAATCATACATGTTGTTGTTGGATCCCCAATATCTCTCTTCTCCGAATCTTGAGACACTTTGCTTTTCCCTCATTTGTGAATTTTACTGCAGAATGTTATGCCTGTATCTTATTCCCCAGTAAGTTAGAATCTTCCTTAGGGCAGAGGCCCTTACCTGCCTTTTAATGCAACCTTGTGCCAAATTCACTTGGTGGGTGCTCAGTTTGATTCAACAACTCTTTCAAAGCCAGTCTTCCTAACACTGAATTAATAGTGTTCTGCTTTTATTGAAAAGGAGAAAAAAATATCAGCTCACAACCACATTAAGAGTCTTCCCAGCAGCTTATGTTACCAGTAAATGAAGTTCATGTTTACTATTAATTTATTATTAAATGAAATAATTCTCCAATAAGTAAAACCTCTTTAATTTTTAAAATTTAAACACATGATGATGGCAAATATCATGATGGAGATAAAATATATTTTGATAGCAAAGAAATAATAGGGTATTTATATACGGAATTATCTAAAAACCAAGAAGTGATGTAGGATTCTATATTAACCTTTTAATGAATTACTGTAATGTATAAGAAGGATAAGAGATTGAGGAAAGAAGGTAGAAATCTGGAATCTGAGAACACAATAATGTCTTTTTCTAGCCATATTAATATGACAATTATATTCTTTCTACAGCGATAGCTGTTGAAGTGCTTTGCTCCACAATATTATATAAGGGACTTTTGAATAAAATGTAAATTTAGGAGTCAGATGGGGAAAACTTCTAGCCCATGAATTGGATCATTTCTTGGAAAAATTGTGCTTATTCCATGAATAGATAACCAAATACTGATCATACGTACAACAACTGAGGTCACTGAGCTAGTAAGCCTCAGCTAAATGGTTGCTTAGACCTGTTTTGCCTCTGTCAAATGCAATGTCAAACTAATTCTTAGAGTAAGAATTCAAGAAATCATTCAAGTCTTTAAGTGTCTTAACATTGCCAGGTACTTTTATTTTTAATGTGATTCATTAATTTTATTTTTAAATTTTCATAAAACACAATTTATTAGTCTTTAAAAAAATTTTTATGTGTATATATGACATAAAATTAGACATTTAAGCCATTTTAAATGTCTAATTTAGTGGCATTAATTGTATTAACAATGTTTTACGACCATTAGCACTATCCATTTCTAAAACCCTTTGATCACCGAAACAGAAGCTCTATATCGATTAAACAATACCTATTCCTCCCTTCTCTTAGCCCCTAATAACTTCTTACCTATTTTGTTTCTGTAAATTTGCCCATTCTAGATATTTTATGTAAGTGGAATCACATTCTATATTTATTCTTTTGTGTTTGGCTTATTTCATTTAGCATAAGGTTTATCCCTGTTGTAACATCAGAACTTCATTCCTTTTCAGGGATGAATAATGTTCCATTTTATGTATATAGCACATTTTGTTTAGCCATTCATTTCTTGGCCTTTTAACAGGTGATAAGAACTGTTTCCCTTTTTTTTCTTAGTTTGTGTAAAATTGGTATTTCTATCCTTAAATGTTTGATGAATTCATCACTGAAACTGTTTGATCCTGGAGGTTTCTTTGTGGAAGGTTTTGGTAACAAATTTAATAGATATAGAGTGATTCAGATTTTCTATTTATTCTTACATTTGTTTGGGCAAATCCTCTATTTCAAGGACTTGGTCCATTCCATTTAAGCTACCAAATTTATTGTCTTAAGTTTTCAAAATGTTCTCTATTATCCTTGAATGCCTGTAGGGTCTGTAGTGATATTCCCCGTTATGTTGTGGTGACAGCCCCTCTCTAATTCTTGACATAGATCATTTGTGTTTCTCTTTTTTAAAATCAGTATTTCTGGGAGTTTATTAATTTCATTAATCTTGTCAAAGAACTAGATTTTGGTTTTGTTGATTATATCTACTATTACCAAGTTTTGTTTCATTGATTTCTGCTCTTACTTAAAATACCCCTCTTACAACTTTGGTTTATTTTGCTTTTCTTTTTGTATCTTACCCAGATGGGAATCTAGATCATTGCTTTCAAACTTTTTTCTAATATGAGTATATGAAGTTACACATTGCTCTCTAAGCACTGCTTTAGATACATCTCATACATTTCAAAGTTATATTTTCTCATTCAGGTCAAAGTGTCTTCTAATTTCCAACATCACTTATTCTTTGACACAAAGGTTATTTACAACTGAACAA